TAATGTGATCAGCGTCCAATGTGAACAACGAAAGTAAACGTTTGATTTGCATGCCACAAATGCTTGCACATATAGTTGCTCTATACAGTTTTTATTTATTGTTAGAATTCCAATCTTGTGCTGCAAGCTGATGTGCGGCTTATTGAACGGCCACGTCGCGATGAGGCTACCGGAGAAGTTGTATCGCTGGTCGGTAAGTTGGAAGGCACACGCATGGGCGATCGCTATCAACGCACAAAGCCCGAAAAAATGGAAGAACGCAAAGCCAAACGTCAGAAGCGAGATGAGGCGCAATATGATTTCGAACGCATGAAAGGCGCCACATTACTGTCCGAAGGTATTGATGAAATGGTGGGAATTGTGTACCGACCAAAAACACAGGAAACGCGCCAGACATATGAGGTCTTATTAAGTTTCATACAAGAAGCTCTGGGCGATCAGCCGCGTGATATTTTGTGTGGTGCGGCCGATGAAATTTTGGCAGTATTAAAGAATGATAAGCTAAAAGACCGTGAACGCAAACGTGAAATCGATAGCTTGTTAGGTTCAGTAACCGATGAGCGGTAAGTTAACATATTTTCCAGAAAAGAAATATGTACTAAAATTATAATTTTAATTTTTTCCTCCATTAGTTTCGCTTTATTAGTCAATCTGGGTAAGAAAATCACAGACTTTGGTTCGGACGCCGTGAACGCTCTAAATATCGCTAGCAACGAAGAGCAAATTGATGAGACTTATGGCATAAATGTGCAATTTGAGGAATCCGAAGAAGAAAGTGATAACGATATGCATGGTGAAATACGTGACGAAGATGGACAAGAAGAGGGCGAGGAAGCACGCATCGACCATACATTGCAYGCAGAAAATGTAAGCATTTACAAAGCAAAGTTTAGTATTAAATAATTTCATTGTTTTTTTTTCAGTTACTCACGGAGGAGGCTGCGAATGTGAAGAAAGAACGTGGTTTGCATCCACTTGACATTGATGCATACTGGCTACAGCGTTGTCTGAGTAAATATTACAAGGACGCCATGGTATCRCAAAGCAAATCGGCCGATGTGTTAAAAATTCTCAAAGATGCTGCTGACGAAAGAGACTGTGAAAATCAACTCGTACTCTTATTAGGCTATGACTGTTTCGACTTCATAAAGCAACTGAAAAACAATCGACAAATGATCTTGTATTGCACAATGTTGGCCTCGGCGCAAACAGATAGCGAACGTCAGCGTATACGTGAAAAGATGCGCAATGATAACCATTTAGCTAAGATATTACGCCAGTTGGATACTGGCAAGTCGGAAGAAGATGACTATGGCAATTCATCGCGCGCAAATAAACGCGGAAAAGAGGAGAATGATGACTCGGGGCAAGGCACGGCTGGTCAGGTGGCAGGTGTGCGACAGGTTCTCGAGTTGGAAGAGCTAGCATTTACACAGGGCTCACACTTTATGGCAAATAAAAGATGTCAACTGCCGGACGGTTCGTTCCGCAAGCAACGCAAAGGCTACGAAGAAGTGCATGTGCCCGCATTAAAGCAAGTACCATTCGAGGACAAAGAAGAACTGCAGCCCATTGACAAACTACCAAAGTACGTGCAGCCGGTTTTTGAAGGCTTTAAAACACTTAATCGCATACAAAGCCGTTTGTGGAAGGCCGCACTTGACAGCGATGAGAATATGTTGCTGTGTGCGCCCACCGGTGCCGGTAAAACAAACGTTGCTTTGCTGACGATGATGCGCGAAATCGGCAAGCACATCAATGATGATGGCACAATCAATGTGGATGAATTTAAGATCATCTATGTGGCGCCTATGAAGTCGTTGGTACAGGAAATGGTGGGCAACTTTGGCCGTCGCTTAGCTTGTTATAATTTGACCGTATCCGAGTTAACTGGAGATCATCAATTGACGCGCGAGCAAATCGCCGCCACTCAAGTAATCGTGTGCACTCCCGAGAAATGGGATATTATTACACGTAAGGGTGGAGAAAAGACATTTACTAGYCTGGTGCGTCTAGTCATCATCGATGAAATTCACTTGTTGCATGATGAGCGCGGTCCAGTGCTGGAAGCACTTGTGGCACGTACCATACGCAACATTGAGACCACACAGGAGGATGTGCGMTTGGTCGGTTTGTCCGCCACGCTACCTAACTATCAGGATGTGGCAACATTTCTGCGCGTGAAACCCGATAAGGGTTTGTTCTATTTCGATAATAGCTTCCGGCCAGTGGCTTTGGAGCAGCAATACATCGGTGTTACGGAAAAGAAGGCGTTGAAGCGCTTCCAAGTCATGAACGAGATCGTTTACGAGAAGACAATGGAGCACGCAGGACGCAATCAAGTGCTTGTCTTTGTGCACTCACGCAAAGAGACCGGTAAGACGGCGCGCGCCGTACGTGATATGTGTCTGGAGAAGGATACACTCGGCAGCTTTCTGCGTGAGGGCTCAGCCAGCATGGAAGTGTTGCGCACTGAAGCGGAGCAGGTGAAGAATACAGAATTGAAAGAGTTGCTGCCCTACGGGTTCGCTATACATCACGCCGGCATGACGCGTGTCGATCGTACATTGGTGGAGGATCTCTTCGCCGATCGTCATATACAGGTAGGATTTTCGGAACGATTTTCAAAAGACATTGTGTGTTTAATAACAATTTTCTTTCTAATTTTTAATTGATTTATTTTTCATTAATTTTTAA